ATTTTTCTGAATAATCTACGACTGTTTTTGAAGCTCTCAATGGTTTGTACTTGGTCTCATTATCATGTACAGTAAATTGTTCCGTTTGTACTGCAATGGGAGTGGAAGTACGGAAGATGAGACGTACCCACATCAAAACTTTACGAACTACATATGGAATCCATTACGATGATTTTACGGTTGATAAAAATGGAATCAGGGGATTTGATTAGAATAATAATAATAATAATAATCATAATGAATAATTTTCGTTTGTACAAACGAGTACTAACGATTTAGAAGCTATCTGTATGTTTTCCTGACATCCTTCATACATTTAAGATTTTAGAAGCGGGTAAAGTATTGAGGGATTGATAAATAAAATGGAAAAATATAGTACGTACAAGTACTATCCATGCTGAATTCTTGCTCATGAAAATTTTTTCCGTACCTTCATTTCCGACGCTGCACGATTTTTTCGGCACCCCTTACGTCTAGGGATGCGGTGTACAAACGAAAATGAATGTGGTACGTTCAGGTACTCACTGAGTACAATCGATATTATAAGAAAAAAAATCTATTTATCAAACTTCGACTCTAAGTTCACACAGCTCTCGCATCAGTCGTGGCATCTCAATGATTTTTCCTTGATTTTAAATCCGATAGTGTAGCGGTGGCGATTCATGTTTCTAAAGGAAGTGGAATTATTTGAAATATAAGTATCAAGAGTGGTGTCTTAGTCTGGTAAAAGATGTCTCTTGGGTTATTCAGTTCGTTCACCTATGTACACATACAGATTGTTGAAACGGACCATAACAAGACACCTGCAGACGCCCCGGGGGCTGTCTGCAATCTCCCTCAGCAGATATAGTTGACGCATTTAGAGTTGAGATTGATATATCTGTTCTCCTTCTCAGAACATAAACCGAAAAAAAAAAAATGCCGGAGGAGCGAAAATCGAGCGCCAGTCCGGCTGACATAATGGCCGAAAATGGTACAAATTCACCGAGCAAAAGTCCTGTTAATAAGGGTAAACTGGCACTTTCAAAGATCACTCTGCTGGACGGCACGGTCAAAGACTTTTACACCGACGTGAGTTGATTGAATTGCGTTTGGCGAATTCATTTGTCCAATGAACATTACACTAACGAATGCATTGATTACAGAGAAAAGCGAAGGGCCAAGAGCTCCTCGACCAAATATGCCAGAGTATGAATCTCCTCGAAAAAGATTACTTCGGTCTTGTCTATGAAGACAAACATGACCCTAGAAATTGGTTGGATCTCGACAGGAGAATTGGAAAATTCCTCAAAAATGAGCCCTGGAGTTTGAATTTTGAGGTGAAATTCTATCCTCCAGATCCCTCACAACTGCAAGAGGATATAACTCGTTACCAGCTGTGTCTTCAAATTCGTAATGATATAATTACCGGCCGCCTACCATGTTCATTCGTTACACATGCACTTTTGGGCTCATATTTAGTTCAATCGGAAGTGGGTGATTACGATCCGAAGGAGCACGGTGATACCGGCGTTGACGATAATGACAGTAATTACATTCCCACATACCTGAAGGATTTCAAATTCGCTCCTAATCAGACGCCCGAGCTGTTCAGGAAAGTTATGGAACTGCATAAGTCTCATAGAGGTCAAACGCCCGCTGAAGCGGAGCTTCATTACCTCGAGAATGCTAAGAAATTAGCGATGTATGGAGTTGATCTTCATCCCGCTAAAGACTCTGAAGGGGTCGACATTATGCTAGGTGTTTGTTCTTCCGGTTTACTCGTTCACAGGGATAGATTGAGAATTAATCGTTTTGCATGGCCTAAAATACTCAAAATTTCGTACAAGAGGCACAATTTTTACATTAAAATCAGACCTGGTGAGTTCGAGCAGTACGAATCGACCATTGGTTTCAAATTGGCCAATCATAGAGCAGCTAAGAAATTGTGGAAGGTGTCTGTGGAGCATCACACATTCTTCCGGTAAATATGAATTCATTATTTTTCAAAGTATGCAAATGCCGGATCAATCCAATAGAATTAATCGTCGAAAATTCAATTCTCAGCTGCATAAACACTTCTATTCACTCAATTAAATTTCATGAATTATACTTGGAGGGGCAATTGATTATTTTCAGATTGATGAGCCCAGATCCAGTTAAGAAAGTAGGACTTTTGCCACACCTAGGCTCACGCTTCCGATACTCTGGACGAACACATTACGAAACGAGAAAAATACCTATTGAGCGACAACCACCTCAATTCGAACGATCACTCAGTGGGCGACGCATAACATCTCGCAGCATGGACGGTAATTTTTCGGCCAAAACTGAAATACTGAAATTTGTGGTCAATAATCAGACAATTTCCACAAACTATTTTCCCAATATTGTTGTAGCCTTAGGTGGAACCAGGCCTGTCGAATCGTACGGCTCTGAACCGAGTAAGCGTCACACCATGAGTTACGAACCTGAAATAATTCCCGACATGGAGCACATCGATCAACGGCCTAGCCCCATCAAAAACAAAAAAGACAAGGTGAGCAGAAATTTCCCGTTCACTCTCGAAACCCAAGAGTTAGGATAGCGCTAGATTAAATTTAGTTCCAACCATTAATTAATAGCGATAAATGAGAAATGATTTTCGCCATTCAAAGAATTGATTGAAATATTTCCAAAGTAATATCGAATGCGGTCTACGCTTTCAAAAGTGAAAAATTATTGAAGAATGGCTTGGGAGTACCACAGCAGGTCACATTAATTAATTAATTGTACCGTTGGTGTACGTCGCATGTCACAGTAGGTGCATTTCATGTTGACGAGAATTTTCATGATTCTTTATGTTCAAATATAAACTGTCATTGAAAAATCATCACAGAATTCATCAGTCGCACATTATCGAGACTCTCCACAGTCGTGAAATAATAATTTTGGGGATTAATCTGTTGTCACAATCAGTAACAATATTTCACTCATAATAATTAACTGACACGTAACTAACACCGATAGCTCACTCGAAAAACAAGCGTTGGAACAACCTCGGCAAGCAGTGCCAGTAGCCTGGAGGGTGAATATGACGCGGAGCGTGCCGAAAAGGTATTGAATCATCATTCATTTGCCCTCCCAAAAAGCAAATCTAATCATCTAACTGGGCATTATTGACATTCAGTACTACTATCGACAATATTCTCAGATGCATGCCTATCAATCATGCTATTCTTGCCATCATCCTTTCCTCTCTTTCCCCAGCTATTCCATTATTTCGCTGAATTTAAGGGTTTTATTCTGTGGAAAAAAAATGATGACATTGATTCAAAATTTCTACAGGACTGTTTTCTATCCATGTTTTTATCTATAATTGTAACCCCCCCTTCCCCCTCTCTCTCTCTGGTTAATAACTTGAAGAGGAAAGATGGAAAAATTCATAGATAATCCGACTGTGATTACAAACGTCCTATATGAATTGCAGATGAATGTCATCAATTACTTTTTTTGAACGGAACACTTTAATTGGAATTGCGGTTCATCACATTGAAATCATAGCATATGATACTCAATTTATCTACGTGTGTAGAGTTAATTCACTAAATCAGTAGCGAAGCGGTAAACCGGGTTAAGTCGATTTTGACTATTGGCCAGTTTTTTACGAATATCTCGGAATCTAAAAGAGATAGAAAAATTTTTGTCATGACCTTTTTATAGCTCTTAAATGATTCTACAAAAAAGGTCATAAGAAAAATTTTGCTATCTCTCTTAGGTTTTGAGATATTCATCAAAAACGGATCAAAAGTCAAAATCGACTTAACCCGGTTTACCGCTTCACTACTGAAATCCTTTGTGTGATATAAAAAAAAGGCAGTGACTATTCACACGCCTGCGTGAATCCCTCCGGTACACTCCGTACACTCCGCATCAACCCCTCCACTCACTCTCGCGTGAATCACTCCGAACACAAAATACTCTGCGTGAATTACTCCACTCACTCTTGCGTGAAGTACTCAAACTACATTACCTGGTTCCCTGCGGGTCTCACTCACTGCACTATCTACATGCCCACTCAGAAAATCCCATGGAGTGTATGGAGTGTACGGAGTGTACCGGAGGTATTCACGCAGGAGTGTGAATAGCCACTGCCTAAAAAAACCGTATCAAAAGTATTGATAATTCCGGCACCATTATTGGGAGCGCAGACCGTTGATATTGAGGCATGCAACGCACGCTAATCGTGTGTAAAGTCAATGTTTTCTCTTCAACTACACGCTTTCTGCGAAAGTCAATTCTTTGTAAATATAGAAAACTGAAAATTGTATTGATAAGAGATCTAAGTAGTACGAGCTTGAGCTTAGTAATGTCAGCAGTTTTTAGTACCCTGTCGCGTGCATGGAGCGCTTTTATGATTTTCTTTTCTTCTTTTTTTGTTCTTTATTCCATTGTAGAAACCAATTGGTGGTATTGCTGTATTGCCACCCAGTGGGCACACGAAAAAGAACAAGAACAAGCAAAACGAGAATGAGAAGGAGAATCACAATGACCTTAACACTTCTGATTTGATAAACGATGGTACGTCTGTCGATGAAAAATCATTGAGTAATAAGAAGAGTACGAAAAAAGATAAGGAGAGTCCGGGGAAACGTGACGGGGATAAAAAGGAGAAGATCAAGGTGAGCAATGATTTGATATTTCGTAGAAATTCCAACTTGATTCTATTATGCTTGAGTGAAAACCTCTATCATTCGTTGAACCCAAGACTTGTATCTGATTGCGAATGTAGGTTGACAATTCCGTATTCTCCATGAATGAAACTCCTCCCAGTAGTCATCCATAATGATAATACCTAGATGTAGCATGTACTGCACGTGTGTTTTATTTATGCTGAAAGATTCCTGTCGGTGGTTTTCTCTTTGGAAAACGTGACAAGGAGCCAAAGGACAAGAAGCAGAAGAAAACCAAGGAACTGGACGATTCTATCGACCCGAGTGACGAGTCAAATTTGTCAGTGTCATCACGACAACCTCAACCTGTTGAACCAATGCAGACATCCCCCGAGTCTCCGACTCTACCTGGTTACACAAAGCCATATAATTACGTGGAGAATGAAGCAGCACCGACGAAAAAGCCTTACACACCTCACGGTTTCACGTACGAGGACCGCTCCACATCACCTTCAGGAACGAGAGAGCCCCAGTCTCCAACGTCTGCCAGCAAGAAGGCAACGGGACTTGCGTTTAATTACGCTCCAGGTGAGGCGCAGAAAGTCGCTGAATCCGCTGAGAAGCGAAAAACTAAAGAAGCCATTGGAAACAAAACCCCCCCACCGCTTCCTACAACTCTACCTGGCTTGAAAACTCCGGGAATTAACTACGTTGAATCAGCTGGTTTGAAAGAGCAGCAGAAAACAGTACCTCAACTGGACCCCAGTCAGAAAGCCTCGGCAGCGCTGATCGCCAGTGAACAGCAAGGGGACATTGCAGCCTCCAAGCCCGGCGTCATCATCCCATCGACTGTAGAAAAACAGCCGCAGCACTGGGTGTTGCCACTCCCCGAGGGAACAGTGATAATTGGTGGAATAATTTATGCAACAGCAAAGGCAAAGCCACACGATCAAAATTCATTAGGTCCTGATGGAAACAAAATAGTAGATGGTAAAGTTTGTGGTAAGGATGGAAAACCACTGAAAAAGGGTGACTTTGGACCTCAGGGTATTCACATCGCGAATGGCCTAGTAGTGGGAAAAGACGGAAAGCCCCTTAATCAACCTGGTATCGGTACAAACTACGATTCAATTGAGAATGGAGTAATCTGCGGACCGAATCATCGACCCCTCAATCAAAGCTCCTTGGGGCCCGAATATTGTCTGATAAAGGAGGGAAAAATAGTGGGTAAAAATGGAAAACCAATTACACTCGATAAACTCGGAGCCGATGGCAGTTGCATTAAGGACGGCCTCATATTTTCCAATAGCGATAAGCCACTGACTCAGGGCTCATACGGTGCAGAGGGCTATTACATTGTTGGTGGCATTGTATGCGCCCACAATGGCAAATCAATCAATCAAATGGCACTTTTGCCGGATGCGACATACATCTCTAATGGTTTGATCTATGGGCGCGACGGTAAACTACTCTCCAGCGGTGATATTGGACACGATGGTAATTACATAACTGAGGGAAAGGTTTACGCTAAAGATGGTAAACCAGTGAAGAACGAGGTCTTCAGTTCAGACAGTTCATTCGTGAAGGAAGGTGTTGTCTACAATAAAGAGGGAAAACTCTTGAATCAGGGATCTCTGCTGCCCAACGGTGCCCACCTCAAGGACGGAAAAGTCGTCGGTATCGATGGCAAAAACATCAAACACGCGTACTACCAGAGCGATGGTAGCTTCGTCAAAGACGGAATTATTTACGGAAAAGACGGCAGACCCCTCAATCGAATTCCACTAATTGCCGAGGGTAGTTATGTAAAAGAGGGAATTATTCATGATAGAAATGGAAAGCCTCTCAACCAGAATCTCTTCAAGCCCGACAGCATTATCATCCGCGAGGGAGTCATTTGTGATGCTGGGGGTAGACCCCTGGCCCAAGGATTCCTCGGGGATAATTTAATTATCAAGGATGGAGTTGTACTGGGGAGGGACGGTAAACCCCTGAAACAAGAGTCTTTCGGCTCCAACGGAAGTTCCATTAAGAAGGGCGTTGTCTTTGCGAAGAACGGAAAGCCCCTGAATCAGGATTGTCTTGTGCCGGATGGGGCATCTATCAGAGACGGAAAAGTGTGCAATAAAGATGGTAAACCCATCAAGTCATGTTTCTTCAAGTCCGATGGTAGTTTTGTAAAAGACGGTCAGATCTACGGTAAAGATGGAAAACCATTGAATCTGAGCTCTTCTCTGCCAGCTGACTGTTATATTCAAAACGGAGTAGTGTTCGATCATACAGGAAAACCCCTGACAAGTAGTATCTTCGGTGCTGATGGCTCTTATGTATCCGCTGGTCTCATTCACGACAAAGGTGGAAATATCGTGAAGGAAGGAGTCTTCGGACCGGATGGCAATAAAATCAAGGATGGCTTGGTAATTGGAAGAGATGGCAAGCCACTGACTCAAGACGACAGAGGTCCGGATAATATCGCTGTTTTGGAGGGGAAAATTGTTGATGTCAGTGGAGCACCGAAGAACCTGGCATCTCTTGTCCCAGATGGCTGTTACATTCGCGATGGTGTTGTTTATGACACTAATGAGAAACCTCTGAAGCAGGGGGCATTCAGGCCGGATGGAGCATACATCCGAGACGGATTAATTTACAACTGGGGTGGATCCCTCTTGAATGCTGGTAGCCAACTGCCAGAAGATTTTTATGTTCAGCAAGGCAGGATTTATGGTAAAGACGATAAACCTCTTAATCACAGCTCTTTCGGAACTGATGGATCCTTCATACAGAATGGTTTTGTCTATGACAAAGATATGAAACCACTGGACCATGGAATCTTTGGTAACGAGGGTGGATATATTCAGGATGGCGCAGTTTATGCTGCAGATGGAAAACCTCTAAATAAAAAACAGACGACGACGATCACCATCAGTCTCGTACGCTATGGATTAATGTGTGGAGATGACGGAAAACCCATTGTATCCGCACCATTCGACAATTGCGGAAATACCATTAAAAATGGACGGATATACGACAAAAATGGAAAACCTTTGAATCTAGAGTCACTGGGTTCTTCTGGTCAGTCCATCAAGAATGGCCTCATCGTCGGCCCCAACAGTAAGCCAGTGACGCAAGGACCATTAAAACCAGAAACTAGTTTTGTTAAGAATGGAAGAGTGTATTCAGCAGATGATCAGCCCCTAACGCAAGAGGCTTTCGGTCCTGAAGGTCTCAAGGTCAAGGAGGGTGTTATCGTTGACAAGACTGGCAGGCCTATCAAGCAGGCACCTTTCGACAGTGAGGGGAATTACGTGAAAGATGGGCTCGTTTATAACATCGCTGGAAAACCACTCGAAAAGCGTTACACGACGACAACGATTACAATTGTCAAGAGAGGGCTTGTTTATAATAACAGTGGAAAACCGGTGGAACACGGAGTGTTCGGGGATGATGGAAGTTACATCAAGGATGGAAAAGTCTATGGCACGAATAATAAACCGTTGAATCAGGAGATCTATGGGGAAGATGGTGGATATATCAGGGAAGGGATCATCTACACGAAGTCTGGTCAACCGTTGGAACGGGAGCCGTCGCCTGTCGAGACTGCAACGACCCCCAAAATTTCGGCTCTCTCGAAAATTAAGAAGACTCTTGTACCTGCTAGCACTCCAACCATAGTCAAAACTACAACCAAACAGTCTGTTGTCAAGGACCAAGAGGGATTGACGCAGAATATAGAGGAGAAGATTGAGGACCTCACACCTGGCGGAACTGGACAAGTCACGGTGAACACGCAAGTCAATAAGGTAAATTTCTTTATTGACACGTGCTTTTCCCAATAGATAATTGATCATAAAAAAAAAAATATGGATGTTGATTTTCCATATAATTAATTCTATGAGTACTGTACTCTATAAGAATTCTTGAACAAGAATTTTTGTAGAAAAATCTATTGACTGTTGAGATAGTTCTTAGTTATATTTTTGATGCATTAGTCCAATAGTAGTTGTTGTGTATGTAGGCAGATGCACAAGATGATGGTAGAGCTCCGTACATGACTGCTACGGCCGTAACAACTCGAACAGCAACTATGCATGAGGATCTTGAGAAAAATCAAAAGACAAGTCAGGTTTGTATCACTCCCATTGTAAACTATTTTCCTCCATCAATGAAATCGTTTTTATTTTATGAGTTATTTTTTCAATGGCAATGTCACACGACAGGTTGAGGAAAAGACAGTAGCACATACGACAGCTACAAGTGCCACCAGACAGGAGCAACGTGTTGTCACCCAGGAAGTTAAGACCACGAGTCACGTACTCACCGGAGAACAGGTAAAATTAAGAAAAAAAATTAAGCTGTTCAGGGTGAAGTTGCAAATCTTCACTCATTATTTATAATACGTGGGTAGAATGCACATTAGAAAAATGCTATCATAACTCTGCCGCATATCAGTCCACAATTCGTATATTGTGGACACATTGCAATGAGTTTAACAATTTAAATTTGCTAATTAAAGTCATAACAATCATGAATATTCACACATTTCATAGTCAAGTCATACTTTGGTCTAAAATTACAATATTTTTATGTTATTTTATTTATTTATTTTTTTTTTTTTTGAGAATTTGTTATCATTATCAGAGCACAATCATTGGTTTTAATGAATATTGATGTCATATAATTTTACATCATCGATAATAATGAATTTTGACGGCTTTGGCTAACACGTTGCATGGCGTTAGCTGTTCACACGACGTCTAAGTACATCGAGTTCGAGCAGCGGTGATTCAGGTACACCAATTGACCTTGACGACGATCAGCAGGCTTTCTACAATCAGTATTATCAGGTAATCCATCGAAACGCCCATCAAATTTTTAGCAATCGTTGTCATGTGCAAAGCGAAGGGTTTAGGTATACAGTTGGTGGTGGATGACGATGATGTTTATCTCGTTAATAATATTACGATTATAAAGGTAAATCGAAGATTCAACGCTGTTAATGCTCCCGTTCGCATGCAGTGTCAGACGTGAATATTATTTTTTCACCATATCAAATTCCTCTGTAATATATGAAAATGCATGCAGAACAATTTTCGTGTATTATTATTACTGCTATCGTAAGACAAAGATGAACCGTAAAGCTTAAAGAATTTCTTCCCCAATTGAGTGTCAATGATACACGTACAATCCGAGAGTTTACTTAATTCAGATGAAAAATTTGACAAGACAGACCAATAAAAGTTGCATTGAAATGCTTCATTAATTTTGTCGAATTATGAATTCTCAGGGAGACGCAGGTACTGTGGCAACAGAGACCCAGATATTCTCAGGTCAGCCAGCGAGCAATGTAACAGCGACAAGTACAGTGCCTCTCGTTGCCACCGAAACGAGAAAAGTTGCACTGGAGAATGACGATGGTAGCTACACTGTTAGCGGTGAAATAGTGAGTTCTCAAACGATTTCAAGCAAAACCAGGACCGTCGAAACAATTACGGTGAGCATTGCTTGAAAACATCATGTGAATGCAATTGGATTGTGACGTGAATTCATTTTGTATATTCTCACAGTATAAAACGGAAAAAGATGGTGTAGTTGAGACGAGAATGGAGCAGAAGATAACAATACAATCGGATGGAGACACAGCCGATCACGATCTCGCACTGGAGCAGGCTATTCTGGAGGCAACCAATATGAATCCAGACATGACTGTGGAGAAGATAGAAATTCAAAAGACATCACAATAATAGGTTTTAAAACGAATCGTTGTACTGAGTTCTGAAAGAAGCCCTGTCTACAAGGTAAACTCATTCCCTCAATTTCAAAATTATCTCAAATTAAATTCGCTGATGAACGAAGAATTCGTAAAATCGACAGGGTGATTTTTAGAGTTTATAACAGTGTAATAATAATTATGATAAAGGATGAACAAGAAAAATCGGCTGAGACAGCGGTATGAGTGCCAATTGCACAAATATAGAAGACTGTCCTCATCCGATACGCCGATCGCATCGATATTTCAAATTGAAATGTGTGATAGAATTATCTTCGACACAATTGACGGCTTCTGTTTGTTATGACGTTTCATTTCTGATAGTTTAGTGAAGATTAAACTTGGTGCAACAAATCAATTCAATGCATACAACGCAATAATGCGCTTCAATTAAATGGAGAAAATGAAGAATGTTGCTTCACTGCGATAATCCTCTGTATAGTATGATTTTAACGTTTGGTATTAGGTTCTTTTTCACTAGCGGATACCATTGGACATGAATATATAAAATTATAAATGAATATATTATATTATATTGAATACAGGAGAAAGAGAAAGAGTTAGAGGTGTCCGGAGTATGGATAAATATATAAATAGTTTGAAAGGCCAAAATCATCGCGTTTTCCTTGGACATGAGCAGGGGGTACTTCATCAAATGTCGTATGTACTGAGGAATCATTGGAATAACTTTCCAAAATTCAATGAAAAAACACCATTGAGATTGTATGGGTAGTACTACATACATCAGTTGAAACGTGTAGGTTTTGTCAATTCAAGCATTACATATTAATAATTTAATAACGATTAATTATAGATTATATTACCAAGAGCAGATTTGCATTGGTCAGCGTATATGTCTAAATCTAGCTGTAGCTTCTGTAGTCATAGGGAGTATGTGGGCGTATGAGGATGTACAATTTTTGTTTCTTATTCTCTCTAAATTATCCCTCCAACATTGTTTTTCATTAACTAATAAATATGTATTAATTTTATACATAATTTTTTCATTCGGCAGCAACTTTGTTTCCTTTTTATTCAGATGAGATATTGCACAACCATTGATCGAGAAATTTAATAATTTATTAATGGATTATCAACACTTGGAATGTGTCTGTGCCACCGCACATAATAGAAAAACAAATAAAATGCGAATATGCGAATCCATACGTTCGATCAAGTCGTTTATTTTTCTACTTTTGCATACTTATAATACGCTCGATGTATGGAATACTTTTGTTTCATAGCGAATAATTTATTAGAATTTGTGATCGAAATTTTTTAATTCGTGCACACACACGTTTGCATCGTTTCTAACATTCCACGCTTATAGTAATCAACTTTGTGCATTATATTCGTAATTGTATCATCTTATTTTTTAAAAATGCAAAAACCAGACGTTTGCATCGGAATTTTAAGAATAACTATTCTCATCATTTTTATCATTTGCATTTTAGCAATTTTTAACCCATTATCAAACAGTGGTACAACAACGGTATTATCGATAATCCAAAATTGAAGGGTAATTAAATTCAAGAAGGATGCATTAATTATTAACTATATAAATATGAGCACGCTGATTGTAATTGTCAAAATAAGAAAGAGAATTAAACACCATTTGTGAATTTTTATATTGAGTTATTGAATCTTTTGTTATGATGGTATGTATTGATTATATCAGAGTGGAACAACGGGCTAATGATAAGATGTGTTCAAGATAATTTTTCCCAGCAGCATAATAATATATTATACCAAAATACATTTGAGAATTCATTTTATTACGGGTAGAACAAGTTTCATTTTCTCCGCACTGGTGGCACTGGTGGTAATCCTGTGCTGTCGATGATTTTCGAAGTCCTTCGAGGTTGTTCTCTTGTCCTCGATGTTGCTTTCCACAGTGGACGGGGGGTCAGGTGATTATTTCTCTTTCCATGAATTGCTGGTACTAGATCGGGATTAAAACTCATTAAATATATGATTCTACAAGAAACAATAAAAACAAGAAAAAAGTTTTGGTTTTCAAGGACATGTCACTGATTTTTTGCGAATTCACAATTTTGAAATTCAAAACTTTTTTTTTCTCAATAATCAAATAATAGAATTACTGCATTTCCAAGGAGGGAATAGTTGTGATTCCGTCTCTCCGCAAACTGTTGAAGTGCTTATCGATAATTTTGGTCCAGGTTGCTGTTGCAGAATAGCTCGCGATACCGATCTTTTAAATGCCGGAGGTAGATTCAAAGACGCTGAAATGATTGAAATGACAAAAATATATTCACGGATAAAAATAATTGGGAATACGTAAGAATACTAAGAATACTTGTTATGTCATCGCTGAGGGACAGCTTTGGTCCACATTTCTCGTGCTTCAGTTGCATCGCCTCTTTGAATTTGCTCAAGAACCGTCGGGTGACATCAGTTACAATTTTCCCATCTGAATACCCTTTACGCAAGAGTTGAACAGATGAGTTAGCTTTATCCTCCGTTGTCGTGATATTGACAATAGAGCCTTGAAAAATTACCTAACGAGTTGCTATGAGCAATGAGATTCTCACGGTACCGATAGTTCTGTGTTACAGGATTCCCTTGGAGGAATAAGCGATTCAGCCAAGGCAGGGTAGCCACAGTTTCACTCAAATCTCTCATATCTTCCATCTTATTGTCTCTCGCATCCAAATATTCCAGATTCAGAAAGTGACTCAATGGTCTCAGTGAATTTAATTTATTGCTAGCTACGTTCAGTACCTTCAGATGATTCTACAGGCGAAATTCAGTGAATGAATACAAATATTATATTTTTAAATCAATTTTTAACTCACCGATAGAGTCTTCAAACTTCTCGGATCGAAAACCAAGGATTCTCCCACGGCAAGCTTTTGATTTTCGACATGCAATTCCAATAAACTATCCAACCCCTCCAAACCCTGCACAATATTGATGCCATTATGTCCTAAATATAAACTCTTCAAATTCCTCAGTCCCTGCAGATTCTCAACTTTCGTAATGTTGTTGTGTTGAAGATATAAATGTGTCAGATTGTTGGCAAAATCCAAGTTTTCTATTTTCGCGATGCAGTTGTTTTGCATGTAGATGACCCGTAAATTTTTGCAACCGGCGAAATTTCCCTGATAATTAACAATCATGAAATTGAATGTATTTAATGTGGAAACGTTGATGTAATCGTGCACTTACAATAGCCTCTATCAATTTGTCATTCATAAAAAGATGTGTGATTTTCCGTAAATGATTCTTGCAGACTCCTTTCGTCAGCGACTTTGTGGACTGCGTCCGCGCGCATTCTTTCTCGATAAATGCAGTCGTCAGCAGTACCATTATCCCAGGACAATTTTACATTCATACAAAAATCACATGAAAGCTAGTCTTGTCATTTTGTTTGGTAGCACCAGTCAATCAGACGTATTGATCAAACAAATGCGTGACTCACAGAGCTGTTTTGTTATTCATGAGCCCAAAGAATTGAGAAAAACCACTGCATCAAGTTGTATAATATTTTATTACAAGTTTTCGTGTACATGAATCGTGAATATTTCAAACAATGCACTCTCACTCATTTGTATATTAATGCAGTCGAAATGAGTTGAAGTAAATAGTTGTATAGATGCTTAAAAAATCACATTGGTGATGATCTGCAATGAACGCATGTGGCCTTTCATGATTATCAATTTTCATATCAGTAATTCCCCTAATAACACAAGATTTTTCACTCCCACTATTATTGCATTGAAATGATAAATGTCGATTTTGGCAGATCAATAATTATCAATCCTGAATAGCTGCTCTGTTCCATCATTACATCATCTACGAAGATAATCATCGTGATTACAAATGAAGATAATAATTCTACATACAAACAGAAATATATTTCCTTCCACGTATTTACACTGAATTTATAAATGACCTCAGTCTTTTGCAGTGACTAGTTTCTACAATTTCCCTTGATAACGGGATATTACCACTTGATACTTCCATTTTTGAGATCCTTGTACGCTGATGCTGTGATAATGCCATGACTCTGACTATAACTATTCAGTGTACGCATGGTCCTCTGATTCGTAACTGGTTTCTGTATGGCACTGTGCCTGAGATGACTCTTGAGCGTTTGACTACGTGTGAGCTTCAATCCCCCTATGATTGTTTCACTGTGATTTGTACGTCGAGCAACTGCTGATCTCGTCTGCATTGGCATCGTTTGATTGAGATAATTTTGAATAATTTGACTCTGTGATGAATTTCCATTCGACGCTGGACCACTTGATGCAAAATGTTTTGTTATGTTATTTGGCATCTTCGTCATTAGATAATTATCAGTGTGGCTGGTCGACGAATGTCTGGCTGGAATAATTTTTTGAGGGTTTCTATTTGCCGCCGGGGGTTTCGTTCCTCTTCTCAATTTCGGCTGACTCGGAACATTCCATCTGTGCCCTCCACCGACCTGAAATGTTTACATTACGATTACAATTGAATTCTCATTAATTTGCCAATCACTAGTCCGTGGAGGAGTGACGAAATTAATTAAGTTCACTTATGGGAATTAATTTCCGCGAGACATGTAATATTCACTATGGTGTTGCGTGCAAACAAATAATTGAATCTTTCACATTTTATCTTCAGAAATTACAGTACCTAAATATATCCCATATGGCAAGTAGCCTGCAACGATATAATTGCGATTTACACCACCACTATTGCACAGAAATCATTTGATACGAGACTTTGGATTGTCGATTGACTCACCACAGCTGCTTGATCCGATTGAAACGATCTCTGAGATTTATTGTTCAGCTGTTGCTGCTGGGGCTGAGTGAGACATTGGCAGCTCTTAGCGTGACCCGGAGGTAAATTGCGGAAATTCCCGTTAATCAAGTTGTGGGCATACTGAGAGATGATATTCCTTCCTACTTCGAACAATGAGGAAGGGATTAAAGCATTTTTAATTTTTTTTTCGTAGTTTTTTCTTCTTTCAATTACCTTCCACCTGTGAATTTTTGAAGGAGTCGCTCTTCTCCTTGTCCTTCCGCACATCGTCACTGGACATGTGGAAGTTACTCTTCGGCAAAACCTCTCGTGGAACTGCATTACTCGTCTCTTTCCTTATGTGTTCCGACAGCCGACGGATTCTAGACTTCGACCTACCAGAAAATTTGTGTTTTATCCTACAGAACAAAAAATACTTATGGGACCACCATTCGAGAGCACTCGGCGGTTGAATCCACTATTTCTCTTTTCTCACATATTTTTGCTCTTCCGATGCTTCTCATCCATCATCGTGTAGAGCTTATTCCTGTATTCGTCAACGGAGAGTTGAACGTCGTCTCGCAGCGGAGGTATGACGCTTGCACCGCGTTCGGGCTCGTACGCGCGGTGATGGAAACTGGGGGAGAAACAGAGGATAGCTAGGATAATGGAGTTCAGTAGCGAAACTGTAAAACGGTTCAGATCGATTTTTTTTCGAAACTGACATTTTTGTGTGTGAAATGACATTTTTCTGGGCGCAAAATCGACGCTCGTAGAAAGATATAATATAGGCTAATTGAATATATTCTTCAAATATATATATAAGATTTACATAAAATATATCATTTTCAGAATATATAGTTTTCCGAATGAGCGCTTCGCTACTGAATCATTGAAATTTAATCGCTGCATGTAAAAAAAAATGTAATTGAATAACTCACTCAGCAACATACGGATGCTCCAAAGCTTCAACTGCTGTTAGCCTGTGGTTTGGATTGAATACAATGAGACTATTTATCAGATCTACCGCACTATCGGAAAAGTTCATGAACAGCTCTCGTAGACTTCGACGATGTACGTTGGGCGTTTTTTCTAGGAGATTTGTTCCGTATCCCGCGCTTACCGACGCTATATCTGGAGGATAACATCGTGATTACTATCTTCCATGGAAATGAAGGATTAATGAGGATTTTGCATGCAATTTTTTCATTGCTGGAGAAGGAAAATGAATGAAAAATTGATAAGTTCTATTTTTTATCCAATTATCACACTCGTAATTTTATTCAATGAAATAGTGCACAATAACTGATTTACTCACCCTCCGGCGTGGGTGGAGATAGAGTAGCCATGATTCGCTCGACCTGATTGATCGTCGAGGACCCGGGGAATAGTGGCTTTTCGAGGAGCATTTCACCGAGAATACAGCCCAGTGACCACATGTCAATGCCTTTTGTATACCTGACACATAAAAATGTCATATAGACGATGAAAAAATATATCGTCTGGATAAATCAGTCTCACCTTCGTGAAGCTATAAGAATTTCCGGTGCACGGTACCATCTCGTGGCAACATAGTCCGTCAACGTGGGATCGCTCCCTGTCTCACCATCACCTTCCCCAATTTGTGTCACGGATCGCGCTAAACCAAAGTCCGCAATTTTGCAGTGACACTGAGCATTCAGGAGGATATTAGATGGCTGCAAAAGAAATGAGCATTTTGGTCGTTTGTCTTTAAATAATATGAAACCGTTACCTTCAAGTCTCTATGTATAACATTCCCCGAGTGAATGTACTTCGTTGCTTTGAAGAGCTGATACATGATGTAAATTTTATGAATGTCCTTGAGGATGTTTCCTCGTTTAATGACATTATGCAGATCCGTTTCTGCAAAAAAAAATAATTCAACAAATCCATCCCAACGAATCCTCAAGTCAAATTATTCATGTTAAACTTATACCCATGAATTCGAAAACCAGGTAGATATCTCGGTCATTATTAGCCTTATGCAAGCCAATAAGTTGAATGATGTTCTCATGATTCGAAAAAGACATGAGAAACATGATCTCTCGGAATGTCCTCTGGGCGTCTGTCTGATTCCTGAAGGCATCGAAGATCTTCTTCACAGCCACAGTCTCCTTGGATCGTTTGTCCACGGCTTTCCATACGATTCCATATGCCTATCATGAATGATGGAAAAATTTAAAAATAGAGTAATCTATGCGGATGACTGCACGAATTTGAATATTTTTCAGATCGATAAAATCCATCAAATTTTATGTGTTGCAATTGAGTCACCGCCAAGACATGTAAACAACACCAGACGCTTGGTACCATTGTTTTATCTATATCTCCAGGCACGTTATTATAAAATACGAGTGCACGTTGTACGTGTGTGTATAAATGTTTCCTCCGATAGGAAGCAAATACATTTTTCATGTCCGTGGTAATCACATTTTTATTCTCTTTTGTATTATTTTTCATTTTCAAATTTTTATTCGAGGAAAAATTAATTGGAAATATTGCTGCGGTGGGGAGGATGGAGTAAAAACACTTTTGACTCTTTAGAAAAATATTCATAACTGAGCAATAGATTTATGAATTGAGATCGGTCTGGGCTCATTACAAAGGGAAGAAATTGTAATTTTCGTTGAAAAAAAAATCCATTTCACCGGCAATTCAATTTTTATATTTTTTTGAAACGTCAATGACTTGAAGGATTATGCGCGCAATATGAATCTCCAATTAAATTCGGTAATGAAACATCCGTGCGAAAAACAAGGCCAATTATTTCGTCAATTATCATCAATTATAGCCGAGCAACAATTCTCACATGAATATCACGTGGTCTTCAGTCATGCAAAGGCACCGTGAATTCAACAACCAAGTCTCTATCGACCAAAGCATGTCATAAAAATATAATGAATCCTTGGAATTTACCCCTTTTCCGAGTCGCCGAACGATATTGTAATGCTTGGTGACATGATTATCAATTTCCGCCAATTTCTCCCCATTGCTCTTCCCGGACATGGCTTCGATACTACGGAATCTGTGCTACAGCATGAATCCACGTTTTCCAGCGGCAGACTCGATGGCACTTGGATGAAAAAATTGATGAACAAAAGCGTACGAAAAATTTCAGCACGAGATAAAGAAGCGCACATTCACATTTCTCGTACACATCCGAATGGTTTGAAAGGCATAAAAAACCACCTTGCTTCCCTCAACATTTGACACATCAGTATATCGTTGTGTGTTTATGGAACTGTGAGGGTGGTTGCTTGGTGACCGTTCTCAACAACATTCAGATTATCAAGTTGTCAGGCGTCCCTCGCACTTTTTTCGTACGACAGCTAAACTATTTCAAATGCTATTGAGCGTCTCAGAAAATAATACTTTTATACCTATTTATTGAAATTTTTCTCACAACATCACGAGTCGCATTAATTATGAGTGACATTGAGAAAAGAAATAATCATTGGAAATTGTCCACCGTGAGTGGAAATAAGCATGACACCAACGTAAAATATAATATGAGAATGACGATTGGAATAAATTTTTCATATTCTCTACGTCAAGTGCACGATATCGCCGATGATGAGGCGTTCCTTTTGCACTTTTTTCGAGGGTCTGACATTTGTTGAATTAATAATAACGATAAACATACTTTTATACATATTTATTGAAATTTTTCTCACAATATCTTATAGAATAATTCCATTACCAAAATAAACTTCTTTCACTTTCCAACATTGAAACTCACTGGTTCTACCTGCAATCAAGTGATATCTATGTTCTGTGGAATAATAAAGGAAAAAAATGCTTTGTGGTCCCGAGTCGCATCAGGAAAAAAATAATAATTGGAAGTTACCCACTATGAGTGGAAATAAGTATGACACTAACGTAAAATAACATATGAGAATGACATTGCACATTCTCTCTGCACCTCAAGTATACGCTATCACCAATGATAACATGGGCTCGATGATCCAGTCTACTGAACCGTCAATTTTATACGAGTTTGTCGATGCATTTTCCTCCATTTAACTCTCAGACTCCCAAGATTTATTATCATGTTGATTTTATATAAAAAAGAAATGCTATATAAAATCGACAAAACCTCTGACAATCGTGGATCTGTAAAACTCTTTACTTTCTTGGCTGTTGGATGTGGATGGGTCTTGAAGTATGCATGGGACGATCGTCGTGAGTTGGCACTGGTTTTTCGTGAAAATGTTGCACAGCCTCTGGGGGGAAATCAGCGTTACCTCTGGAAGGCGCTCCACTGATCATCACAGTTTTTGGAGGACTGCAAGGAAACAGAGAAAATAAATGATGAAATAATTTTTCTTTTTTTCGTTTTGAAGGTATTTCTGTATTCTTCTTTTAAAATGAGACATGATTAATTCCATCATCCCATTAAGTCAGGATATATTAATTATTAGAAAAGACCTATTTCATCAT